GTGGAGTTTTTGGACACGAAGGAGAAATGGAGGAGAGTTTGTTGAGGATGGGCACGCATGCTAGTATGAAGGATCAGATTTGTCAGATTTTGATGGTGGGGCCGGAGGAGGTTAAGAGGATTGCTGTGAGGACTTTTTGGAGGAGTGTTGGGGGGAGTGCGACCGGGAGTGCGGGGAGCAGTAGGAGTAGTAGTGGGATTTTGTGATGGGGCGGGGGGGGGGGGGGGGGGGGGAATTGTTTGATTAGCGTGGCGTTTTAACCGTGTGGGTGGAACTTGGAAGGTAAACTTGAAGTTGTCTTTGAATTTGAATCTTTTCACAAACAAACATCCACCAAAACCTTACAATCCACATTCCCCCTCCTCCTCAACGACAGAAACCCCTCCTCCACCACATCCTCCAGTTTAATCCGTTTCGTAATCAAAGCCCGCGCATCGAGCCGTCCCCCCTCAATCGCAGAAATCACATCCAAATAATCCCGCTTCGTATACGCAATCGAAGATTTGATCCCGACTTCCTTCAAAACCATGGGCATCAGATTGAAGGACACGGGAGTTTCCTGGATGGCGAGGTTGATGACGGTTCTTCGGGGTTTGATGCTTGCGATGGCGGTGTCGAAAGAGGTGGGGACGCCGGCGCAGTCGAAGACGACGTCGAAGGAATCTCTGGGGAGGGTGGAGGAAGGGTTGATTTCTGATTCGAAGGGGTTGTAGGTTGCTGATGCGCCGAGGTGAGAGACGAATTTGCGCTTTTCTGGGGAGGGATCTGAGATGGCGATTTTGGTGAGGTTTTGGGCTTTGAGGGATAGGAGGACGGCACAGCCGACTGGACCGGCGCCGATTATGAGAGCGGAGGAGGTTGGGGACAGGTTTTCGGCGAGACGGACGCCGTGCCATGCGACGGCAAGGGGTTCGATCAGTGCTCCCACATCGCAATCGATTGAAGGCGGGAGCTTGAGAAGGGAGTCTTCTGCGACGACGGTGATTTCGCTCATGCCTCCCGTCTTAGTGTTGATGCCAACGAAGCCTAGCCGAATGCATGTGTTGTCGTGTCCTTCGACGCAAGATGTACAGGTGCCGTCTGTCAATGTGGCCATGGCGGCGACTTTATCGCCGACCTGAGGATAGTTAGCACTTTGACTTATCTCCCGCATTCAGCCTTTCTACCTGCAACTCTCCAGAGCATCCCTCTCCAATCTCCGCCACAACCCCAGCGAACTCATGTCCAAAAGCAATCGGTGCAGTGCATCCGGTCAAAGGGTGAGGATGTTTCAATGACATGGCGAAAGCCGGCTCATGGTAGAAATGTAGATCCGACCCGCATATGCCACAGAACTTGGTTGCAATAGCAACATGTTTTGGTGGGATTGTTGGAACAGGCACCTTTTCAATTCGGAGGTCTCCAGCATCGTAAAGCTGAGCGGATCTAATTGTTCGTGCGTGTTCCGTTGTGGTTGCCATGGCCTAAAAGAGTCGATATGGCTGATTCTGTTCTCAGATGCGATGTTCATAAAGCTTTTGATATGTCAGTTGCTTTGAGAACTGCACCGCCTCCCTAGCTACCTCGGAAAGTGTTGCTATGATGGAGCGGGCAGTCCTCCCCGCACAAGCCTGAGAAAGATGGCGCGGAGTACGACACTGGGCATTCCCTTAACGAGCAGTATTCATCCAAAGTCGGGGCTCCTTCGCAAGTGCTTAAACGTTGTCGGTGGCGGATAGTCAGCTCCCGTGCGACAGCCGCATTGCACTGCCGGAAGCCTTTGTGCAATCCATAGCTTGCTACATCAACGAAGTGTCGTGCGGGCGCTATTTAGATGCGTTATCCTGCCTCTGAGTAGCTTGCGGTGTATGTCAGCATCAATCACCTTGCTGTAGAATATAAAATGCACACGCTCCAACACACACTGAACAAAGTTGATCAAATTTGGGGGTATCACTGCGGCTGTATTGCTTCCAGGGAGCTCTCATCGGCATTTTTGGATCGACTTGGAGTGCAGGTGGTATCGTTGCCGTCTACTATGGAATACATACCGTACTGCCTCGGTTGCAGAGGCTCTCAGGCAGATTGCCAATGACGATGATCGTAACGTACGGACGGCTGGGCCAGAGGTTGCTCAACAGAGCAGAGAGGCTACCTCCATTCAGGCGCCCCGCTTTGCAGGCTTGTATGGACCTTCCACCTTCCACTCTATCTCTATATCCTTACATTATCTCTCCGCTAAGTACACTAATATATATCTGGCTTAGCGGTCTATACTGAGCCTATAGCGAAGCGCCTAAAAGAAAACCGTGCGGCTCCTATATAACCGTCCGGCATATAAACGAGAATTCGAATTTATAGAAGTATAACTATATATTAGATAGACAAACCCAAAAAAGCTGTTCTGCGTAATAATAAGAAGATTATATGTTCCTATACAAAGCATTCGCTAATATAAGTACTATAGGCTCTATCTTCTATATACTAAGGCTAGTTGTCTATACGATTCCTAGATTTCCCGTAGATTTCCTTAGCTTCTAGACCGTAATACGACTATTCCGTACTAACGACTCTTATACAATACGAAGAGGCCCTTCTATATATCTATAGCTCGGCCCTCTAGGTACTTAGGTCTCGAGGTATATACGTTGTTACTACTGTCTTGCCCTCGAGGGCAAATGCTAAGACTTTTGTCGCAATTTGCGTTTTCTCGCAGGTTGTAGAACGCGATATTAACGTACTATTGCTGTATTCAAAAAGTCGCGCTATGTGCGGAGACTATAGATATTTCCGCGTAGCTACTGTTTTGCCGTAGACCTACCTACACTATACAAAATTAGTAGCAATCTAGGGACGGAACGAAAGCCTTTCTTACTACTAACTACTTAGGTCCTCTAGTGACGATTAGGGTTAAGAACAAGGCCAAACCGGAAGTAGTTAATAAGCCGTCGCTATACTAAGAGCCTCTAAGCGACTATAGAAGCCTTCTTCTAAGAGGAAAGAAGCTCTCGCTCTATAGCAATCTACTAATAAACGAGCTACTAAGAAGAGCCGCCGAGAGCCGACCGTTAAGCTAAGTAAAGGACCTAATACGGATAACGAGTTGCTTAGTAAGACTTAGCTAACCTAGCAAATTAGCGTAGACGACGAGGACTATATATCGGCTAAAGAGGAAGATAAAGCTATAGAACAAGAAGTAGAGGTCTTCGAGTACGTATTATAGTAGATAATAGCTAATCTAACTAACCTACGGTTGCCGCTTACGACTAAGTGCTTTCCTCGTAAGACTACCGGCAATAGCGAGGCTTGCTACGAGGAATTCTACGATTAGTACGCTAATTAGCGTAATACTAGTACTAACGACGACGACTATAAGTTAGCTAGCTCGGAGATTGTCGCCTTAGTAGATAAGATTAAGACTAAGTACTATTTCCGTAGTACTAGTATCTAGAAGGGCAATTTCTAACGTACGTACGATATACTAGCCTCTTAGCACTCTTAGGGTAAGAAGGGGTTAAGACTAGACTTTAAGTTGTCGATTAAGCGCCGGAAGATAGTAACAATTAAAAAGCCGCCTCGTACTACGAATAGAGCCTTATAAGGTCGTCGAAGCCGGACAACTAGAGCCTATATAACAGCTATATAGCAATAACTAGACGCTCTACGTACGAGCTAGATAGAAGCCGCCGAGGGCTAATCTAATAGCTCGGAAGCTAAAGCTAATAATAATAATAGCGGTTTAACTAGCTTACTATCGGATTAGCGTTACGAGTTAGCAAAGCGATAGCTATATAAGAACAGATACTACCTTAACAAGAGTAGACTTTACTAGTTTAGCGGTCCGGATAGAGCGGAAGACTACTATAAAATCTACCCTAAGATTGCCTCTCGATAGGTAAAAGGCGTACGAGATAGTCGCTTGTCTATTACTAATCTAGGCTCCGCACTAGCATTAAAGATATAGAAGAATAGGGGTAGGCAACTAGCTAACCTATTTAAGACTCTACGGACAGTTAGAACGGCCGCTATTAGCGCTTTAACCCCTATAGTAATCTACAATTACTATAGCTAGTAAGGGGCTCTTTAAAAGCGCTCTCGGTTGTCTAGTCTACTAGCGGCTTCTATAGCAGCTTCTAGTCTAGTAGATAGACTGCTATTAAGTCTAATTCTAGCCTCGGTCGCTTCCTATTAATCGTATATAGCGGATATAGAATTAATAGGCTTCTTTAGCTAGTTACGTAAAGAATTAAGTAGCAGCTAGACTAAGCGATATAGTAATATAGCTAATATTAAGCGTATGTTCGCTAAAGAAGGCGACTTCTTACTTAAACAGCTAAAGAGGGTTAAACTAAGCCGTTAGACTACCGCTAGACTTAAGGAAGGCTAATACGCTCGATTTGTCGCCGCAGTTAGTCGATATATAGACAAGGAGACACGTAAGTAGCGGCTTAGTCGGATTAATAAGTCGTTAGATAGTCTGTTCTATAGTTAGCTATAGAAGCGCTATTTTAGGGTAGAAGCGAGGCCGAAGAAGGTAGGTAGATTTCCGGTCGTAGGTCGGCGGCTTAATAGCTAATATTCAGTCTAACTAATGTCGCTTCTTATTCTACTAATACTACGTATTTTTGTATAGTATAAATTAGAGGTATATTAGATAGATATAGTCTCGGCTCTCTATACTTATAGTAATAAAAAACAATGCGTTATAGTATTGCGCTAGTATCTAGTTAGAGTAGTTAAAATTAGCTTCTTAAGTGTAGACCCGCTAAGCTTAACCGCCGAGCAAAGCCGAGTAGACGCCGAAATTTCGGTATAGAGGAGGCGCTCGAAGTCGCGAATTTTCGAATATCTTATCGTAGCTATATCTTTATTATAACTGCATCTTTTTTAAAACGAACAACGGGAGGTTGTTTAGCGGTATTAATAGTGTTGTTTCCTACCGAAGAGACAATATAGATATATTATAGTAGTATTGTATTATTGCCCTATCGGTTAGTATAGATTCCGGCTTTCGAAGCTATACTCTCCGGGCCGCTACTCGATTGCGATACGAATATAGCGACCTACTAATAGCACTACCTTTAATAAACTTGAGATGTTATATGCGATATAAACGGCTTAAACCCTACTAAATTCTAGGCTCTTTAATCGCTATAGCTACTAGTAGCGCATTAGAAGTATATTAATTAGGTATCGGTATAGATTCGACTAATTCCTCGTTCCTTATAGATTGCGGATAGTTAAGAAGAAGAGGACCTTATACGAGATACTACTACTATATTACCGACTACTGTATTACCGTTAGCTATTAATTCAAGAGGCTTATCGCTATAGCTAGTACTGCTAGATCTATAGTATATAGAAGCGATAATAAAGGAGGTTGCTGCCGATACTGCGCGTACTATTATAGAAGAAATAAGATAGGAAATAGAGGAGTTAAAAAGCCGTATTACTAAGTTAGAGGTAGTTATTAGTATAAGCGAGTCTATACGAGATTAAGTGTAATTAATATCTCTAACCTGCCTTCTAAAACTACGCTTCTACGTACTATTTAGTATTTAACTCGTTAATAGCGTATCTTATAAACTGTCCGAAGTCTGTAAAGCAATTAGCCTCGTAGATGTTCTTCTTAACCTATGCCTTTAGCGACGAGAAGGACAATTTAATAGAATTAAAGTCTAGTAAGTATAGCGGCAGTATCTTTAGATATATACCTGCCTATCGATACGCTTCTTTTATACTATCTATACGGTAGATTGACGTATTATCTATAACTAACACTATACCTAGCTCTATTTACGGCAGGACCGTATTCTTTAGCTAACTCTCGAATATATCGCCGGTAATAGAACCTTAGTAGATAAGCGTGCCTCGAAGGTATCTATTTATACCGATAGTAGGTAATATACTCTACCTCTTCGAGTATACCGTCGAGCTCTTTTCCTATATAGAGCGATTAATAGGCGAGTATCTATACTTCCGCTATCTAGTACGCTTATTTAAGGCACTCTCGTCGACGGTTACAACCCTCTCCGCCGATACGTCTATTTACTATACTCTAAAGTTATCGCGTAACTCGCTATTTTGCTTATAAGCGATACGAAACGCCTTCTTCCTCGACTAGCTATACTCCTTTAGTATCCGAGAGATCGTCGGTTAGCTTATAACTACGCTAAACTTATCCTATAAATACTATATTACCTCGTCCTAGTACGCCGTCGGTCGATTTATAAAGAACTCGAAGATACGCTATAGTAAGAGATAGATTAGTAATAAGCGACCTTATAAGAGCCGGAAATATATATATCTTCGTAGATTAGTAGGAGCCTTCGAGGGCGACCTAATTTAGCTAGATCGCTAATATATAGTATACTAAATAACTTATAATTATTATAGAGTTTATCGATAGTCCGCCTAGCGATATTAACGAGCTTAGAGATGCTAATATTAGATAGGTTGCGCTCGTCGAAGAGCTGTTTAATCTTATTAAGTTAATCGTCTAGTAAACGCGCTATAATAATACCTTTAAGGGCTCTATACTACTGCAAATGCGACGATATAGAAATTAGACATTATAGTAGAGTACTACAGGCGCTAAGAACACTAGGTTACATACTAATTATAGTAATAGTAGGTATCGTACTAAATTTCCGCCCTCCGACCGCATAGCGCGACTTTTTAAATATAATAATATTATATATAATCTCAGACTTAGAGAGCGTTGTCTAAGGTATTAAGAAGGGCCTTAGTATCTTTATATTGTTACAATATCGTAGAGTTGTTATATTATAGCCTTAGAGGGCAAACAGCTGTATTCTGTAGGCTGTTTTAGCCCGGTTTGTTCTTAGGCTTGTAGGAGAAGAATCAGTTAGGTGCCGTTAAAATGTCGTGAAAGTCCAATCAAAGCTTAATGAAAGTCTCTGTTACGTAATTCTTCTTCCCGCAAGCCTGAATGGATGTAGCAGAGAGGGTGCAGGAGCAATGTCGATTATTTCACTCCTGTTCACTCCGCGCCCATGTCTTGCTTGGCGCTCGGTGGCCGGCTCGGCCCTCGTTCGCCGAGCATGCGGGCGGACTAAGGTTGCTTGATGGCCTCAAAGAACCAGCTAGTTGTCAACATTGACTGAACTTGGATTCTCACAGCATTACATGTGACTCCGAACAATGAGGTGATGAACACTCGCGGACCTCTAGGAGGCTCTGCACAACGCGCATAACACGATGCTGAAGCGAACCTCTTTGCCAGTCCTTCTCCGTAAGATCCAGACGTCATCGCGAAAGTCGATCTGTCTGCTAACATCCTGTGAAGTGGCGTGTCTACGATTAGCATGTGCATTCGCGCGAGAGGACCCAGAGATCTACGACGTCGATGAACAGACCGAGACACCCGAAAGCCCATTTCCATCAGAATCGGCACAATGGACGGAACCAACAGCGATCCCTGGAGATTTCCAAGAAGAAGTGCACCATGAGTTGAGCGCGGAGGTTGGAGAGGCGATATCATTGCTGCGGAAGGTCAGACCGCCGGCCGCTTCGAAGTTGGCGAGGCTGGTGAAGAAGCCAAAGGGTATGATAGGGTCGGCAGTATACTACGCCAAAGAGGCGTTTGTTCTGCTGTTCATGAATGCGCCGGGTCAATCACAACTCCTCACGACTTCGAAAGACACACTGCCGAAGCTCGGACAGCCTCTGTCGAAAGCAGTCAAGCTGCTCCAGACTGCCGCGAACGATAACGACCCCGACGCTTTGTTTCTCCTCGCCGAGATCAACTTCCATGGCAACTACTCACATCCGATCGATTACGACGAGGCATTCAAGAGATACAAGCAGTTGGCAGATATGAATGGAAACAGCACAGCACAGCACATGATTGCATTTCTCTACGCTACTGGATTAGCACCTTCGATACCCGCAGACCAAGCCAAGAGCATGCTCTACCATACTTTTGCCGCCGATCAAGACAACACCAAATCCCAGATGACGCTAGGCTATCGACATCTGGCTGGCATCGCAACGCCCAAGAATTGCGACCAGGCGGTGATTTGGTACAGGCACGTGGCGGACAAGGCTGTCCTATACTATCGATCAGGCCCACCCGGTGGCCATAGTCTGGTGCGCGACGCCTATCGAATAGCCGATGAGGAAGGCGGTGTCTATGGCGAAGGAGCCAGTGTAGCATCAGCCGGTCATAACGCGAAGCAAGGTGGCGTGACGAGCGACGCATATGCAGATGTCGAAGATGTGCTGGAGTACCTCCACCTCCAGTCGTCCAAGGGTGATCTGAGGTCGACCTTTGGCCTCGCTCGATTGCACTACGATGGCGCCAGAGGACTCAAGCGAGACTTTGGCCTTGCCAAATCATACTTTCTCAGCATTGCGAGAGAGCACTGGCCACCAGGAGGTAGGGCGCGAAAGGACACAGCTGCGGGAACAGAGAAGCTGGCGGCCAAGGCGGCAGGCTACCTAGGACGGATGTTCTTGCGTGGAGAAGGTACCGAACAGAGCTTCGACAAAGCCAGAATCTGGTTCACGCGCGGCCTGACGACTGGCGATGCCTTGTCCCAGTACGGTCTTGGACTCATCTATCTCAACGGATACGGCGTTGAACGTAATGTGGTCAGAGCCGCCGAGTACTTTTCAGCTGCAGCAGACCAAGATTTAGCCGTGGCGCAGACCATTCTCGGCAGACTCTTCCTGGATCAGGGCGACATCAGCACCGCCACCAAGTACTTCGAGCTGGCTGCGAGGAACAGCCACATCGAGGCCTTTTATTACCTGGCAGAAATGAACGACAAAGGGATCGGACGGGATCGATCCTGCGGTAGTGCCGCAGTATACTACAAGATCGTGGTCGAGAAGGCCGAAGCCATCTGGTCATCTTTGAGTGAAGCTGCCGATGCTTATGAGGACGGAGAGCCTTCGAAAGCTCTGATCCCATATCTCATGGCCGCTGAGCAGGGATGCGAAAATGCTCAAGCCAACGTCGCCTGGCTGCTGGACCAAACTCAGACCAAGCCTCGCTGGAGTCCTCTGAATTGGCTCTCATCCACCGCCACGACCGCGAGCAACACAATCGGCGACGCGGCACTCGCATTGGTGCACTGGACACGATCTGCCAAGCAAAACAACATCGACTCGTTGGTCAAGATGGGCGACTACTACCTGTACGGCTTAGGCTCGGCCATGTCAGCAGAAAACGCGGCATCCTGCTACCAAGCCGCCGCAGAAAGCATGCAGTCCGCTCAAGCCATGTGGAACCTGGGCTGGATGCACGAGAACGGCATCGGCATCGACCAAGACTTCCACCTCGCCAAACGCTTCTACGACCAAGCGCTCGAAACCAACCGCGAAGCCTACCTCCCCGTCAAACTCAGCCTCTTCAAACTCCGCTGGCGCAGCTGGTGGAACGGCATCACCCGCGGCGGAATCCACGGCATCGAAGAGGTGACCCCTTCGAAAAAATCCCGCACTTTCGCAGAATGGCTCCAAGATTTCCTCGAAGCTGACGCACAATACTACAACGAAGCTTTCGAAGCCGACGACTGGGACTCTTCCAACGAACCCATGCCCGGTGCCGGAGACGAATACTGGGACGCTGACGGCGCAGGAGAGTTGGAAGAAGGTCTCCTCGAAACTCTTCTCATAGGTACTTTAATCGCCGCGCTCGCTTGCTTGTTATATTACCGTCAACAACGCCAGCGCAGACAACAAGAGCAACAACAAGCGGCTGCTGCTGCTGCTGCTGCTGCTGCTGCCCCTGTCAGGTAGAATCCCACTTCTGTATCACCCAAATCACAAACGCGAACCCTCCTACAAACAATATCAACCACATTCCACTCCTGCACCAGAATTTCGTTTCTCGGAGGTTTTTCTCTTGTTTGTGCCGTCGCAGCATTGCCGAGAAGGTTTCCGAGTCGCGGTCGAAGGTTTCCAAGGCGGATCTTTTTGAGCGTTGCGGGCTGGTGGGGCGGTGGGCGGTGGGCGGTGGTTGGATTGAGGAGGAGGAGGAGGAGGAGGAGGAGGAGGAGGAGGAGGAGGATGTTGAGGAGGAGAATTGGGAGTGGGAGGTGGGTCGATGTGAGGGTGTTGTTGTTTGCGATTCTAGATCTGGGTCTGGTGGTGAGGTGGTGGTGTCGAGTTGTGGGGTTGGTGGGTCGAGAGATGGAGAGCGGCGGCGGCGGGGAGGGTGTTAGTGGTTTCGTTTTTTCTCTGAGGATGGGGGAGTAGGCGTACTGTGAGATTGATTGTCCCATTTTTTATGCGCTGTGGTGCTGGTGGTGGTATGAGCTGGTTGCTTATTGATGATGGGAGCTCGATTTCGCTTGGCGTTTCTGGAAGGAAGTACATGCCATGTATGAGGCGGTTATGCATTGAATTGTTGCGTACGGAGAGGGTGGGTATGGAAGGTGCATGGTGGCTCGTGTCATGTCACTTTGAGGCGAGGTAGTTGCCAATGTAACCGAATGGTTGAGCTGGAAGGAGTGTCTGCGGAGGAGGCAGCGCTTCACTTTGATTATTTTCCAAATTCACGATTTATGGAATTGTGATGGATCGAATGCAGTTCTCTTCGGTTTGAATGTGTTTCTCACATGATGAAATCGTGGGCACGAAATGGCCAGTATGCCGAATGATGCAGGAGGGTATGGTATGGCTGGATCAAGCGATCCCCACTGGGGCTTCAAAATCAGGCAGAGCAACTTGGTACGTACCGGTCCTTGCCGCCTCAAAACATCTCATGGAGTGTCGGGAAGGCATCTTGTGACCTGGCGGTTGATGTGCTATCAGCTTTTGGAGTCAGAAGCAACGCTTCGAGGCCGCTCCTTTCCGATTCCCGATTGGAATAGTTCTAAACGGTGAGCTGGTTGGGCGTCGAACAAACATCAAACAGCAGATCAACCGTGTTGCCGATATGGACGTGAACGTGTACGAGGTCGAGATGGTTCTCGGATGGACATGATGACCACCAAATGCCCCGAAACAGGTCTTGGTCGGATCGTTGCAGGTGCATGTGCATTTGGACCACGCCACAGACCAGCGTGTGAGATCGGGCAAATCGGCAGATAGTTCTAGCATACCGCTCGCCAACGATCAAAGTTCTTTCGTTGCTGAGCCATGCAATGCCGCATAGGGTCGCTGCGTGGGCATGTGAGGCAGAGCGATTGGGACATATAGAACTAGCAAATAACAATCACACTCCAAACATCACCGTGCAATCGAGTGAAGAGCCCTGGAAGACGAGCACGTGACGGCAGCTCAAGGGTTACCTCAGGGAAGTCACTGTCAGTGCGAACCTCCAGATCCGTCCAAACAAAGGAGGCTCCATTTTGCGCACGATGGACATCCGGACACGCCGCCGTGCCAGATCCATTCACTTTGCAGCCTGCCGCTCTTTCTCTGCACGTCCGCCATGATGAACAACAACAACAACAACAACCCGCACCACCGCACGACACTGCCGATGCAGCGCTGAATAGCGAACAGCATACCGCCGACGCATCCACGCCGACACATCAGCAAGCGAGTGGCAGAAATCGGAGTCCCCGTGCTGGTGCTGGCCGCCAACCAACAAGCCGCCTGACAGGAGGTTATTACCGTCGCCTGCCACAATCCTCATCGACCACCATTGCGACAACAACACCACCACCACCACCACCACCACCACCACCACCACCGTCGACCGCCGACTCGACCACCAACCATCTGGTACCATGTCGACGCCGAAGGCTGGTAAGAAGAGCCTCACGGTCAAGCTGCACATCTCTGGCACACGCCTTCGCGAGTGGCCATCAGACTCGCCGGCACAGCCAGCAGTCGTCGCGCCCATCAAGATAGAGCCATCGCCATCAATACAGCCGCCTGACGCGAATGAAAAATCGTCCGAATCAAATGCGACTCCCATACCCACCAATGGCGATGCTGCCGATGCCAACTCGTTAGCACCACCAAAGGTCGATGGCAGGCGGAAGAGAGGCGGCGCTGCACCATCAGGCCGCAAGCGTGCACCACCCTCGATCGATCCCAATGCTCCGCCTAGAGAGCGAGGTCGACCGGGTCCGAAGAAGAAGCCCAGGCTGTAAGCATACTCCTCCCGCCTGCATCCTCGTGCTGCATGAGCTTTCGGCTGCACTCGAAAGGCTCTTGCGGTATCGTCAACTTTCAAATCAAGCTATGCTAACACTCCTCATAGTGCGGATGGTACTATCGACCGCACAGGCGAGGTCAATGGCGCAGCGCGTGCAAACCCCATCCCGGCACACAAGCTGGGCCCGAAGGCCAACACGGGCAACATCAACGCCAATCTTCGAGCGCTGGACCGCACCGGCAAGCCATGTCGAAAATGGGGCAAGAAGTCACTCAACCTCAAGTCGTTTACGGGTACTGTCTGGTCCATGTCGACCTGGAAAGCACCTCCAAAAGCTAAAGGATTCTCTGGCGACGTCAAGTCCGACAGCAGCAGCGACATCAAGCCAGTCAATGACTCCAGTGCTCTTCCTAGCGATCGAAGTCATTCCCATGTCGGCGAAGACACTATGATGACCGGCATGCAAAGCTCGCCTGCACCTCAGCCAGCAGCTGTGTGAAACCATTTGCATCAACATCAAAAATTTGAATCTGGGATGGATGGGTATGAAGTGGGTCATCAAGGCCGCAAACGATCGCCAACCTGGCCAGCATGTGAACCATCGCATACAATTACCAACATGTGTCATTAGCACTTTAGCGAGGCGTTGGGTTGGGTCATTGATTTCTGGTGGACCGCACAGGCGATGACGACTGGGCGGCCTAGCATGAGTTTGACACTGGCAATTGATACCACTATTCGGACAGGACAACGGGATGCAGAACTTCAAAAGCCCAGAATCTGTTGAGAGCAGTTTGAATACAGCACAACCCTCTCACTAGAGATCATTTCAACAAGAGGCGACAATGCTCCTGTCGGATGTGTGATGAATGTGCCGTGTGAAGAGAATCCAAGTGATTAGAGTCACCGCGAAAATTAGAACAACCAATGCAGTCGTCTGTTACCAGCCTCGTCTGCCTGTCATGTGATAGATTCCACGTTCAAAGTATCGTTTTCCCATCCGTTAATCGTGCTTCCTATCGCAGCCGAAGGGCAGCAGGATGTTGGTGCGTAAGAGGGTGGGGAAGGTGCACGCGGAGCAACGTCCTGCATGATCTCAAGCACGGCACGCTACGCCACGGCAAGCTACGCACTCCTAGGAGGACGAACGTCTTGTGATGAACGACTTCGAACTTTGACTTGCAATCACATCTGCTTACCGCTACCTGAGAATCGTCTCAAACGAATCAGTATCGCGCCGTGTGCCCAGCATAGAACAGTGGAAGATCACCTGCAGCTCCGTCACCACATCACCCATCCAGGTCCAACATCGGCTGCGGCCATCCTGCAGCATCTACCTCGACCCGTCGACGATCAGCGCTGAGAGACTCCCGCTGTACAGGTCTCAGGATCGACCTTGATACCGTTCACACGCTCGCACAGTCCAGCCCTCGGCGACGGCGGTGGTCCCCAGATATCGACCTCACGCCAGTCGCCGCCATCGCTATCTACAGTCCTACACTTTGAGTTAATATGACCAATCGCAACGACGACATCGGATGGACATTCACAAGTGTAAACCCGCGAGATAGAGGACCACCTCCACGCGGCGATACTAGCTGGATATACAGGGGCCTTTGGACATCCGAAGAGCCAGCAATCCATCCTTCGAGAGGCAGACTTTTCATGGGCATGTCGGGAGGCTACGATTACGAGAGCACGAGCGGTGGCACACACAGGCCAGGCTCAGGTGCTGCGCCTGCGCATGATTCTGAGAGATGGGGAATGGAGGGACTGCATTGCCCGGAGAATCTCGAGCAGCCCTTCTTCGTTCCTTCGTATCTCAGACAGTCGCGGCATGTCGAGAGATTACGGCAAGAGCATGAGAGACAAATGGCGGAATTGCGAGAGTTCACGCTGCGTCACCAAGCCTCTCGTCAGCCCGTACTATCGACGAGTCCGAGCATCAGCAATCTGAACAAGACCACCACCACCACACATTACCATCGCGCACCGGTGCAGGATATCATCGAGCGATTACCGCCGCCTTCGGTGGAAGATGAGAGGCTACATCGTTTGCCGAGTCGCTGGAGTGAGGAGGACAAGATGAATGGGCTGGAGATCATGGCAGACGGGACTGAAGTTCGTTTCAATGGAATCACAAAAACGTCCGACGAGGCAGCTGCGGTGAGAAGCAATCATCCCATGCCGAAAGAAGTGGGCATATACTACTTTGAAGTGACGATATTAAGTCGAGGGAAGGATGGGTTGATCGGCATAGGCTTCTCGTCACAAAAGGCGAATCTGAACCGATTGCCAGGCTGGGAGGGCGAGTCTTGGGCGTATCATGGCGACGATGGATGCATATTTGCGTGTACGGCAAGCGGCAAAGCCTACGGGCCACGATTCGCCTCACAAGATGTCATTGGGTGTGGTGTGAACTTCCGAACGGGCAACGTTTTCTTCACCAAGAACGGCAATCACTTAGGTATGCATGGCCGGTTTGATGTTTGTTTCGCGTGAGTCCGCTAACTCGTGATAGGCCAAGCGTTATCAGGCATCAAACACGGCCAGCTATTTCCATCGGTGGGCATGAAGAAGCCTGGCGAACACCTCCGCATCAACTTTGGAAAAACGCCTTTCGTCTTTGACATCGACAGCATGGTGGAGCAAGAAAGGCAGAGCGTCCTCGCCGACATGGCCAAGGCCGACGTCAGCAATCTGCACCCGCCAGACGACGAGAGCGCGTTGGTCAACAACCTCATCGGGCAGTACTTGGCTCATGAAGGCTATGTGGAGACGGCCAAAGCCTTCCGCCGCGACGTGCAAGAAAGGCAGCAATCTCTTTCGGATGACTTCACGTCGTTTGCGGTATCCAGTGATGAAGACGATGTGCATGCATTGCACCGACAGCGCATACGGAGGGCCATTCTCGATGGCGACATCGACAAAGCGATGAAGTATCAGGCTAGCTACTACCCGACACTGTTCGAAGACGACCGGAACCGCGACATATACTTCCGACTGAGATGCCGCAAGTTCATTGAAATGATGCGGCGCCACTCGGATCTGCAAAACTCTTCTTCCTCACCTGCCACCGTCACCAAGTCCGTCGAATCATTAGGCAGCAACGGCCACGCCAACGCAGCAGAAGACGGCGACGACGCCACCGAACCACCAGACACGCAAATGGAGCTCGACGATCAATTACACCGAGAGACGTCGAAAAGCCTCGAACCACCCACCGCAGACGACGTCGACATGGACGCCTCACAAGAACTTCCCCCCAAAATCCACTTCATGAAAGCCGACCAATTGCTCGCCGCCGCCATCACGTACGGCCAGGAACTGCAAGGAGAATTCAGCGCCGACGTGAAGCGGAAGAAGCAGTTTAAGGAAATCTTTGCCGTCATGGCCTACGCGAATATCAAGGAGAGCCCTGTCAGCCATCTTTTCGATACTCAGGGGAGGATTCTGATTGCTGAGGAGGTGAATGGGGCTATTCTTGGTGAGCTGGACACGATATTCAATATGGGCATGATCAATCGCTGACCTTTTCTATCTAGTGTCCCTAGGCAAACCCTCATCCGCTGCTCTGGAGAAGTTGTGTGCGCAGACGGAAGTTTTACTCGAAGAGACGGCGAATCGAAATGGTGGGGCCACGGCGTTGGTTGGTGTTCAGGTGGATTTTTTGAGGGGATAGGGGGAGGGAGGGAGGGATGATGGATGGATGGACGAATGGGAGGGTGGAGAGAGGTGGAGTATCTCCCTCTTTCATACGAATGGATTTTTTTTTTGGTTTGGCTCGGGTCACAGCGAGGCGTATATGGCTAGGCAAGGCGTGTGATGGGGCGGAATAGAACGGGATGAGAAGGCGTCGAACGCGTCGAAACCGAATTAGGACTTCGGATTTCAGATCGTCGTTGTCGAAGGAATGAATTTGAACAGTGAGGCTCCTCGGTGCAAAAGTCCTTCTCGTCGATCTTCTTTCTCCTGCTTCTTTCTCCTCATCTGAACGTGCCGCACATTCATGATGGAAAGTCTCAGCCAGATATCTATTCAGTCTCAATCAATCTGTGTCTTTACTTGAGAATCTGCGTTTCGAAACATTGATTTTGTGATTTTTTTCTTTTCTTTTTTGACGGATGGATGGATGGATGAGTGGATATGAAAATCCATAAATCTTACATTTCTCTTTTTTTTTCTCGCAAAATCTTCCATTCTCCCTTTTTTTTAGCTCGTGATTTCATCACGCATAGCGGCATCGATCGTTCGTTACCATCGTCATTTATCCCTCCTCCTCCCTCCCCATCCCTCGCAAACCCCCTCAAATCCTCCAACCTCACCACCCTCAACGCCTTCTCGTTCGTCGCTCGCAACCACACCTTCGGAACAATCTTCTCCCCGTCCTTCTCCCTCCCACTCTTCGCCGCTTCGAACGCTTCCAACCATCTCGAAGCACACAGACACCATTTACAGCCTTCCTTCATGCCCCCGATGCTGCGGAGGTCGTTGCCTTGGCGGGCGGTGAAGTTGAGGAATCTGGGGAGAGGTTGGTTATAGGAGGGAGGGAGAGAGAGAAAGTCGCTTACGCACTCTTCTGTTACTTCTGCTGCTATGGCGTGGTTGCCGAAATCTGAGGCTGGGACTTCGCAGTAGCCGGTGCGGAGGTAGCCGGTTATTGGGGAGGTGGAGTGGAGGGTTAGTGGTTGCTTGAAGACGTTGAGGGATTTGGACATTGTTGTTGTTTTGGGGGGATGGGATTGAGGGTTTTGTTTTCGAGGAGGGGGGTTGTTGTTGGTTGGCGGCGAGGAGTAGAGGTGATGTTGAGAGGAGGAGGATTAGGTGGAGGGAATAATATTAAAGCATTTGGGGGGAGTGCACGTGTTGTGAGGTAGTGGGTTGGTAGAGCTATGGACCCTTGTTGATGCATTGGACTCGGGAGGATGATGTCATGAGGGACTGGCTGGGGACTGGGGCAGGTTGGCAGGGAAGGGCATCTTGATGGACACATTACAGTAGATTTTTTTTTCTTTTGGAGATGTTGAGGCTTTGGTATGCTATCGAAGGAATTCATCAAGCTTGGTCTGACCTCTGTGTTCAAGGTGATTTTGTTCCTGAACATGGACAGTATTAATGCTTCCATTCCGGGAAGCCCGTCTAGCTCTATCGCAGAACTTCGATATAAGGTAAAACAGGCTCTCTCAATTACATTCTCGTTGACTTGGTGCTTCAATTGCCTCTCTGCAATCGCTACTCCATGGCTTAGGATGCCATCTCCATCCCGGACTGTATCGAAAACCGCTCATCCTAGCGTTTTACTCTGAGTCCACCTAAAAATCGACCAGAACATCTCCGCAAGCCTAATAAAACTGAGAGACCTCGAATGACATGACGCTCAAGCAGATCGAATCTACATTAGCCGAATCGTCCATTCCAAGTCTTTGACAGAGCTGGGTAGAGAGGATGAGATGGGCAAGAAGTTTGGTGGTTTCATTGTGAATGTGTGTGACGCCAGAAATATGGGAAGTTGGCGCTGAGAGGACGGGCCACGGGATTGGATCAAGAAGTAGTTCGGTATATTTGTGTGACCATGGTAGGATTCGAAAAGTGTTTGTCAATGGCTGGTTGGTAGAGTTGTGGCAGAGATGCGGCGTCGAACAGCAAGATTTGGTAATGCAGTGGCTCGGCAGCAATCCTGATTTCTGAGAGGGATGTAGAGGAGGATGTCTCAGGCCAAAATCCAGAAGCGCTCCGATCGAGGCTGAGTCGCGCAAGACAACAACGGTAACTTGGAGTGAGCGCTTGATCTCAAGCAAGCCGATATGTCTATTCGTTGTGCTTCCTGGCACACCAGTCCATGTCTGCATTGTGGTCACTTCACGGTAGCGAATCTGACCCCAGACAAGCAGTCCATCACCACGGACATGCAAGAGCGTTGGAATGCTGAGGTGTCAGTGAAGTCTGGGCGAGGATGGTGAGTCGCAACATCTGCCATTCGCTCGTCGTCGTCGTCAACGTCGCGGACGCTACTGGAAAACCACATGGACAGGGAAGAGGGTACCGAATGATGGTTGATACCGAGGCGGTTGACAAGGAAAGTGCAGGAGATCCGCCGTAGCCTCACCTAATGCTGCGGCCAGGGGCCAGGAAACTGGTCAGTGGGCCTGGACAGGCGTCCCACGATGGTGGCGGGCGATCGAAGGGTCCGCCAGCTGGGGGGTGCCGAGGCGGTGCGATGCGGATGCGCGTGGCTGCTGCTGCACGCGCAAAGCATGTTCTGACTTGGTGACGTCCGTCCAACTGTACATATGAAGCCCAAAAACCTTTTGCACAAAGAATACTATACCACACAGTAACACATATCAAGTTGACCGCTGAAACGAGACGATTCCGCTAGTACTAATATTTTCGCGATACGACGAGGCGCTACCTTACTATCGCTAAAATGAGTCCCGCGACGCGTCCGATTAAAACAAACTAGCGACTAACAACACTAAAGATATACTAAACCGACCCAATTTAAGACAATACTACACTATTTATAAAGCACTGTCGCGATATCGAAGCATAGTTAAAGGGCGAACCTAGAAAGAGTAGACCGACTAAGATTAACGCGCTTAAAGTACTAGATAAGCTAGTAGAATTCGGCCTTAACTACGCGTCCTAAGTAACTAACTATACAACGAACGACATTAGTATTATACTATATAACATTTAAGTAAGATTAGTTTACTCGGCTATAGTCGAGAAAGAAATACTATACTATATAAAAGCTAGCCCGAGAGGCTACGCTTTAGTAGTACGCGAATCTATATAAGCTATATAGAAGGCAGTACTCTCTCTACGGTATTTAAACTTAGGCTAAAGGGAGAGGACTATTAACCTATCGATAATCTATACTCTCCGAATTAAAATACTAGACCTATTAGCCTAAAGGGCACTCCGTACGGCCGACTAAGAGCTATTTAGACTGCTATCTCTTATTAATAAGAACGCGAGAAACTAAGGCGTTTAGGCACAGGTTAATGCCGCAAAACAACTACTATCGGGAGACCTCGAGCTACACTTTAACGGCTATAAATAAAGGGAGCAATTTATACGCTAATCGATACCGTTTCTAAACAGGCTAGGCTTAGGAACTACTATTATTACCTACACCTATCCTCTAGTTATTTACGATATACCGACGCGTATAATTAGCATATACGCAGCCGGTAAATAGAAGGCTATTAGAGAGATTCTCCTCTAAAATAGCGCCGCTATCCCGAATAGTACTATTATATATATCGGCTAGCTAGTTAAAACGAGAGCTAATACAAAACTAACATTATTAATAGTCCTTTATTTTACCTACGCTTCCGACGCTAATAAGGTACTAGATCGAGGCCTACGGTAGTATAGTAGCCTATATATAGCCGAAATCTTTAAACTAGGCGCGAGAATCTAATAGTGCTTTAAATACTAACTATATAGTTATAACGGAACCCGGTACCGTATACTAGAACGATGCCCGCTATATGCTAGGCTATATAAGAAGAAGGCCTACTAGCTAAACACGCCGCTACGCTACGCGCTCTACTTAGGACTATATATAGTATTTAGCGAGGGCTGCCCCGAGAGAAGGAAGGCTAAAGTAAAAGCAGCGGCATTAGGGGAGTACTATATAAGGTTTAACGTCCTAGTAGAGGAACGACTAACTAAATAGCAAGGTAGACGAGCAGAAGTAGGCGGTTACTAAGATCCGGAAAACAGCTAAGTCTAGACGCTAGGGGCACAATTAAAACAGACTAGCTATATTATACTACCCGACTCGGACCTACTAAGCGATAAGGACCTACTACCGGGGAGGCCCCTTTCGGATATAGGTAAATAACGCGTCTTACGCGTCCTAGAGCCTAGCGGTAGTATAGCGAAAGCAATAGCTGCTGCACTAAGCGCTAAAGCAAATTTAGTATCTTTATCGCCTACGCCTGCCGCTCTAATACCTTGCCTAGACCGCATTCCCTCTACGTAGAATTAGGTTTAAGTTTATACCGACCTAGATAACTACTAGGAGCGCCCGCTAACTACTATACTATTATTACCGCAGAGGAATACGCTACTCTTACCTCTTAAGAATTTAGCGCTTTGTATTAAAGAGCTAAAATTAAAAGCTAAAGAGATAGAGGCCCTACTATAAGCCGAATAGGCCCGGGAACGCGCTAAAGTAAGGAAGAGAAAGCAACCGATCGAAGACAACCTAATCTAGCTCTACGTAAACGGTTAATAATCTAGCGCCGATTTAGGGGACTTAATCGGTAACCTAGAGTAGCTTAAAACACTCGACTAAGGACGAGGTAAGCGAATTAAAACCCTTATATAAAGCGGTTAATAAGTAGCCGCTAAAATTACTAAGAAGAAGGCAAAAAGCCTTAAGCGGAAACGGGCCTCTAAACGCAACTTAGAGAGCGACAAAGAGAACTAGCTAAAGCGGGTTACTCGCCGCATAAGTATAGCACTAATTTAAGTATTACCGTAGAAAGTGCTTACTAAAGACGAATAGATGCTCTAACTAGTACAGGGCGACTTAGTAGTAATAGGCGATAGCGATATAAGCTCTAGCGCAGCTAGAGCTAGTAGTAACACTAGTAGCGACGAGTTATAGGATACGCTATTCTAACCGGACAGCTACGATAACGTTAGAGACTAGTAGAACTACCGCTCTCTAAAACACTACGTATCCTTTAATATAACGTTGCTAGCAGTATCTACCGTATAGCAGCGCTATTCGACAGCCCCTAAATTTATAAATACGATATTATCGCTATCTAAGAGCCGTACCTTAATAAACAGAACGAAGGCTACGTACTTATACACTAGCCGCAGCGGGACCTCTTCTAGCTTCTCTTTTTAGGAAAGTCGGACGCGAGAGTTACTATATTCGTTACAAAACGATAGGCTATAAGTAAATAGATAACTTACCTAACCGAGGAATATATATACAAAATTACCGTCCGATTAGGGCAACAAACGCTTACTATAATTAATGCCTACTAACTACCGATCGACAACGACTCTACGGTTATTTAATACCTCGTAGGACACATTACGCTATATACAATCCTCGTAGGCGATTTTAATGCACACTACTAAAACTAGATGCCTAACAAACCGAACAACGTAAGAGGCCGATAGCTTAATTAAATAGCTTAGGACTATTACCTTATATAGGTAGTCCCTAGCGGGCAAACGACTAGAATCGACCCGAGAGATAGTAGTATATTAATATTAGACCTCGTCTTTTATTTACCGGCTATTACTTACCGAAACCTTTTAATTAGCATAGAGTACGACTAGGACTCCGACTACCTACTAGTTAAATCGACGTTTGTCTTCGCCTACCTACTACTATAACTATAGGAAGAGTAACGAAGGAAGTAGAAACAAACCGACATTTACGTACTCTCCGCCTGCCTACGATAGCTACAAGTTCTAAGAGTAGACGAGCTAGACTTACTAGAGCGCCTTAATAAATGTGTTATTAGACTCTAAGTAATACTCTATTAGGCAATTAAAGAGGCAGTCCCTACGGCGAGGTACGCCGAAGGTAGAACGAGAACCGGCTAGACCTCCGAATTTACGGTACTACGTTAGGAGACCCGATAGCTTAAGCGGTACCTCCGACGCCGTTAGATTACCGAAGGCCCCGAACATAAAAGGTACTTAGAACTATGCGGTAAATACAAGCGACAACTCTGTATATAGAAAAGAGACTAATTTAGGCAGGATATAGCAGCCTACGATAATAATCTCCCTCG